TGGCGGCAGGCTGCGGGGGGGGGTGGGGGTGCACTGGGAAAAGGAAAGAGGAAGGGGCACCGAGAGCATGGATTTTGCGCAGGGAATTGCAGGTGTAAATTTCTCTGGGAGGTGAGGATGGGAGCGAGGGTGGGACGAGGGACGCAAGTCTCACAAACCATCCCCCACTGTGGGCACCTGTCTTGGGGGCAGTCTCCTCAGCAGAATGGGTTCCTCTTTGGGCTCCACATGGCCCCTGGCTGCTGGGGAGGTGGACAGGTGGCCAATGTATGACCATGTGGGATGGACAGAGCACCCCCGGGGACAATCCATGGGCCTGCCTTTGGGGTCAGCCCCAGGGTCCAGAGGATGGCTCCCCACCCCACGGTACTCTGGAGCCCCAGCGTGTGTGTGTGCCCTGGGCCCACAGTGTGACATTACCCAGGCTGGTTACAATGCAGAGTCCCCTACGGACCAGACGGAGCCCCAGGGCCCATAGGCAGAGGCAGCCACCTGGGGCAGCCACAGGGGTGCAGATAACACCCCCTCCCATGCCCTCCCTCCAGGATCCTGGACTTCCGCCGCGTCCCCCCCGTGGCCGGCAGGATGGTCAACATGACCAGGGAGATCCGGGACGTCACGCGGGACAAGAAGCTGTGGAGGACCTTCTTCATCTCCCCAGGTAGGCGGCGCCCGGAGAGCCCTGCTGGCTGCCCGTAACGGGGCCCAGTGACCTGTGTGTCGAGGTCTGGTCTCCAGCGTGCAGTTCCCTCAGCCCCCCTGTGCCCTCCACGTGCTTTCCTGCTCCGTCTGTCCCCTGGGCGGGCATAGAGGGGACATCTACCACCTGCTTTTTCAAAGGCAAAAGAAGTTTGTTTTGGAAAACCCCAGGCTCCCGGAATCTCCTCCTGGTAGTGCAGCCGGGGTCCAGGCCGGGCCACACCTGGGACCACCTGTCCCTGCTGCCCAGGCTGTGTGGCTGCTCCTGGCCACTTCTTCGTGCAATTTTTCTTACAATATTTCTAGTGACATATTTCAGTTTCAAAATTTAAGGCAGTAACACCAGTTCCCATGTGGCGCCCCCTAGTTCAGCCATCGGCATCGTCCTTCCCCGGCAGCCGAGGTCTCTGTTCCGTCAGCCTCTCACCTCAGATGCCGAGAGATTGTGTCAGCGTCCGCAGAGCAGGGTCAGAGGGGCCGAGAACATGCTGTGGGTGTCGGGGTTCAGGGTGCTCGGGCTCTGGCTCCCATGTTTCGACACACCCCAGGCCCCTGAGTGGTTCTCCACAAAGTGATTAGTCAGGAGCTCGGGGCCCTGTGAGTCAACACACAGGCCAGTGGACACGGTCGGAGATGTGATGCCGAGAGCTGTGGCAACGAGTGGGTCTGGGCACCCAAGTGCAGTTTCTAAATTACTCGGTCTATTGAGACACTAGAGGCCCGGTGCACGGATCCATGCACTGGCCAGCCTTCGTCCTCTTGCAGTCCGGGACCCCTCAGGGGATGTCGGACTGCCAGTTTCGGCCCAGTCCCCGCATGCCAGACTGAGGGACCCCACCGAATCCGTGCACTAGGCCTCTAGTATGCATATAGATCTTTGGTTAATCTCTTCCCGTCCTCCCCCTCCCCCTCCCCTCTGAGATTCATCAGTCTGTTCCATGTTTCCATGCCTGTCCATTGAGCGTCTGCCCCCTGGGGTTGTCAGTGCGTGTCATAGCTACCAGTCAAATGGTTGCTTAGGCTTTTATATAGAGAGATGATTTACATGTCGTAAACTTCACCATTTTGAAGTGCACTAGAGGTTTTTAAAACATTCACCGTGTTGTACACCATCCCCACAATCCAATTCTAGAACATTTGCCTCCCTCAGAAGGAAGCCCTGCCTGTTAGCAGTCACCCCAGTTGTCCCCTCCCCCCAGTCCCAGGCTCCATCAGTATTTCTGTCTGGATCTGCCTGTCCTGGTCATTTCACATAATAAGAGTCACACAATGTGCGGCCCCTTTGGGTCTGACTTTACTTGCTGAGCACCGTGTTCTCAAGTTCATTCATGTGTAGTGAGTGTGTGAGCCTCGCTCCTTAGAAGGTCACCTGGTGCACTGACTAGGATGTCCATAGACTCCAGTCCCTTAGTGGTGAGGGTGCATGGAAGGAACCTGGGTTCGGATCCTAACTCACACCCACAGCTGTGTGGCCTCGGGCAGGTGTGCTGCCCTCTCTGGGCCTCCTTTTTCTGTAACCTGGGGTTGGAGGGTTTGCTGAGATGCATGTGAGAGTCCAGGGGAGGCCCCGGCTCCGAGGACCCACTAACCAGCCAGCCCTCTGCCGACAGCCAACAACGTGTGCTTCTACGGGGAGTGCTCCTACTACTGCTCCACGGAGCACGCCCTGTGCGGGAAGCCGGACCAGATTGAGGGCTCGCTGGCAGCCTTCCTGCCGGACCTGTCCCTGGCCAAGAGGAAGACGTGGCGGAACCCGTGGCGACGCTCGTACCACAAGCGCAAGAAGGCAGAGTGAGTGTGGGCTAAGCACGGCCGCGGCAGCCCCGGGCCAGGCCCCGACTTTCCTGGGGTCAGGGAGGGCTGGCTTCTATCCATTGGCAGCAAGAAGACAAGCTCAGAGCGGCCCGGGACCCCGTCCATGGCCACATGGGTGTGAGGGCCCTGCCCCATGTGTGACGGCCACCGTGTGATTGACGGTCGGGAAGGGCGTCCTTACTCTGAGAATTAGATGTTGCCTCCAAGGGGGGGCTGCCTGTCCCCTTAGGCTCTGGAAACACAGCCCCTCTGTGCTCAGACATGGTGTCCGTCCCTCCTGCCCCTCTTGTCCCTCCTGCTGGAGAAGCATCCCCTGTTCTCTTAGCCACTGAGGCCTGGGAGTGAGTGCCTGGGCTATTTCTTCAGGGTGACCCTCCAGAAGCCTGGCATCCAGGGCGGAGGTAGCCTCCAGGTGTGGCCAATCTAGGGCGGCAGGTGTGGCTTCATCACCTCCCAGGCCCATATGCCTGTGAATGCACCCTCAGCTGCCATGGGTGCCTCAGTCGGAAGACACTTCGTGTTACAGTGACGCCGTTTCTCCAAGCCCAGCCCTTTGTGGGAGCCCCACTGCCCCACCGGACGCTCACACTGGCTCCCTGCAGGTGGGAAGTGGACCCCAACTACTGCAACGAGGTGAAGCAGACGCCCCCCTACGACCGCAGCCGCCGCATCCTGGACATCATGGACATGACCATTTTCGACTTCCTCATGGGTGCGTCCCGCGGGCTGTCCGTCCGGCCCTGCTGCGACGCGGCCCAGAGCTGCAGGCCAGGCCGCGGGGACGCTGCTGCGGCCACAGTTTGAAGAGGGCCCGAGTCCTGCTTTCACTCATGATGAGCGCTTGGGGTCGGGGTCGGGAGGGAAGGAAGCCGCCTCGAAGCCGCACGCCGGCGTCATCCGTGACCCCGGGTCGCGTGTCTCCGCAGGGAACATGGATCGCCATCACTACGAGACGTTTGAGAAGTTTGGGAACGACACCTTTATTATCCACCTGGACAACGGGAGAGGGTGAGCCTGGCCACTTCCCGCCTCCTGGAGCCCCGCCCAGATGGGAGGGACAAGGCCATCCCCAAGGTCTACTCTGTGATGCGGTCCCCGTGGGAAGGAGGGTGTATGACAGTGATGGCGAACCTTTTGAGCTCGGCGTGTCAGCATTTTGAAAAACCCTAACTTAACTCCTGTGCCGTGTCACATGTAGAAATGTTTTGATCTTTGCAACCATAGTAAAACAAAGACTTACATTTTTGATATTTATTTTATATATTTAAATGCCATTTAACAAAGAAAAATCAACCAAAAAAATGAGTTCACGTGTCACCTCTGACACGCATGTCATAGGTTCACCATCACTGGTGTATGACCTTATTTCACCTAATTCTCAATGGGCTGGGTTCTGCTCTATCCACATGTTGTCCTGGCAAAACTGAGGCCCAAAGAGATTGCTGGCCAAGAAGAGCAGGGCTGTGAGGAGCAGGCAGGGGTGTCTGCCCTGCAAGTAGGAATCTGGGGCAGCAGGCAGGGACATCGGCTCTCCCGGTCAGGGCCATGAGGGGCAGTGTCCCTGGTGCACGGGGAAGGGGGTGTGCATGGGGGGACCCCCATTTCAGATGGTTAGGGCTGCGTGTGCCTGATGCCTCAGAAGTCAGCTCTGGGTACCTGGAGGTTCACAGGTGGGGGTCACGCATTCCCAGCTGTAAGAGGCGCTGCTGTGTGGACCTGGCTGACCCCCACGCCGTCCACTCAGCCTGCCTAGGACCTTGCGGGCTCGCTGCCCAGAACACAGGCACCTGCTATCCCAGGCGCTGCATCAGCTCACCCCCGGCTCCTATCCCTGTGGCTGCCTGGGCCGCAGGCTCTGCCCACAGGGCTCCTGCGGCCACCCCTGGACAATCTGCTTTCCTTCCTGCAGGTTTGGAAAATATTCCCATGATGAGCTTTCCATTCTGGTGCCTTTACAACAGTGCTGCAGGTACCTGCCCTCGCCCTGCTCAGCCAGATGTGCTGAGCCCAGTGGGGGGCCTATGTCCTCTGTGAGCAGGCCGTCCCCCCTCCCCCAGCGTCTGCCTGGGATGATGGGTGCCTGCGGGGCCCATAGGACCACCCCTCCCTTGGTTGTGCCTCTGAGAGGCAGGGTGCTGAGGGCCGGGGAGTCACTTGCCCTTGGCTTGTCCCCACCTGAGGTCCGTCAGCGGCGCCTTCTCCCTCCCTCCCCAGGATCCGGAAGTCCACCTACCTGCGGCTGCAGCTGCTGGCCAAGGAGGAATACAAGCTGAGCCTGCTGATGGCTGAGTCGCTGCGGCAGGACCGGGTGGCGCCGGTGCTGTTCCAGCCGCACCTGCAAGCCCTGGACCGGCGGCTGCGCCTGGTGCTGCAGGCCGTGGGCGCCTGCGTGGGCAAGGAAGGGCTGGGCCATGTGGTGGAGGACGACC